TTCTAGATCATAAGTTTGACTGTACAGTCCCTGTCTCCAAGCATGGCAGTGGGTGTCTCTCCATCTATCAGTGACCACAATTCTGCTGAGCCATGATTAATGCATCGTCTTCCTGCCCCACTTTTATCCATGCTTATGGAGAAAATACAGGTAGGTGCCTTGGAACATACTGGCCAGATGGATCACTAAAATACCCACTTTTACTCCAGCTTTCTGTATGCAGATAAAAACCTGCAGTTATGTTTCCAGGACATATTTCAGAACAGAATTCCCAATTTCCATTACAGGCTATGCCAAGGCAATGTATAAGAGAATGGGAACTGCTGCAAAACAGAGGAGAAAATGAATCTCATGAACCATGCTGGAGATTTTTACCTAAAGCCTGCAGTCCCTCCTTTCTAAAACGAGTTTAAAATAACTTGGAGTGGAGCGGGGGTGGTTATTGGACCTTCAGCAAAGGGGCACGAACAGATTGAGACCTAAGGGCAGGACTGAGTGCAGGCCAGGCCAAGGGTTACCCAAACGCGACATCGGCGCTCCCCGCTGTCCCCGCAGTCACGACCCGAGCCAGGTGTGACCCGCAGCGCTCCGTGCGCGGCTCCAGCGGGGACAGCTCCGAGCGGCAGCGACTGCCGGAGCTCCCGGGGGCGCTTCTGCCCTAGGGAGGGCTCATCCCGCACGGTGCCCCGGGGCCGACACGGGGACAAGGGACAAGGCGGCGGGCGGGAGCTGGGGGGACACGGGGGCGATGACGGGATCTCGGCGGCAGGAACACACGGCACGGCAGGGCAACGGCAACGGCAACAGCAACAGCCCCCGGGCAGGGCAACAGCAACAGCCCCCGGCAGGGCAGCCTCCCGCCTGGACACTCCCTTCCTCCTGCAGGACACCGCTCACACCCCCTCCCCGGCCGGATCCCCATCCCTCGGCAGGACAACTTCCCTCAGCAGGACCCGTGCCACCGGGACACCCCTTTTCCTATACGGACACCCCCTTTTCCCACACGGACACCCCTCTTCCTATATGGACACCCCTTTTCCCACAGGGACACCCCTTTTCCCACACGGACTCCCCCTTTTCCCACACGGACACCCCTTTCCCTATACGGACACCCCCTTTTCCCACACGGACTCCCCCTTTTCCCACACGGACTCCCCCTTTTCCCACACGGACACCCCTGCTTGTGGGGGTGGCGCGGGGGGCGCTGAGGGAGCTGTGCGCGCGCCCGCCCGCGGCCCCGCCATTAGCCCAAAGTAGGTCACGGCCCGCGCGCGCGCGCTCACGTGACGGCCCCGCGCGCGCTGCCCCCCGCGCCGCGTGACCGGCGGGCGGGGCCGGGGGCACCGTGAGGGGAGCGGGGTCGTGTCCTTGTCGCTGTCCCTGTCCTTCCCTCACGGACCCAGCGGTGCCTCCTCCGGCACCGCGGCCAGCGCTCTGCAGGTGTCGGGATGCCCGGGCCCCCGCCCCGCGGTCCCCGGGACGCGGTCCAAACCGGCCTCTGCCTGTGGGGCTCCGGCTGAGCAAGCCCCGAGCCCGCCCCGCAGCAGCCATCGGTGTCCCTGGGTGCTCGGGGACCCCGGCTGGGGCGGTCCAGGGCCCTGATCACCATGTGTACCTTGGTAGAAGGACCCCTGAGTATAAAGATTTTTCGACTTTAAAATGTAGATTGTCTTTGCTAAAGAAAATAATCACACTAAAAATAAAATAAAAAAAATCTTACGGTACATTAACCACTGGGTACTTGGTTTGAAAATAATTGGATTTTTCATACAACTGATCCCAGTGATGGAAACAACCATGGGAAATATAAATATTGGTTGAGGTAATTTTTTTTTAATAGGGCACCCATCAAGATCTTTTCAATACAAAAACTAAGCAGCTGCATAGTCTTTCATAAGCCATAAAATAGACATTTTATGGGTGAATGCTAAGCTAAGAACACATGCCAGAAATTGTATTGCAATTGGAAAATGGAGAAATTCAGGCAGTGTATCATTAGCTCTGTTTTGTCTTGGTTGACTTTACCTGGTGTGCACCATGTGGGGTCAGCCAGTGGTCAAAACAGCACAAACGAATTAGCGACCACCTTTGGAAAAGTGTAGCAAGTAAAAATCAGTAATTTGTGTGTACAGACAACAACATGGTGTCCTGACAGCCTGGAATTTAGGTTAATTGGGATGAAATCTGCCTGTGTAGCATGGCTGGAGTTAAATTACCGTTCCTGTTGTGTGAGACTGAAAATTACAGCTCCAGTACCCTGCTCAGGTACTCTGCTCAGCTTTGCTGGCTGGTCTGTAAATCAGGAAGAGTTATTTTGGCTTTTGCATCCAGGAAATTCCCAGCTCCTGTGTGTTGGGAATGCAGGGTCTGTAACTACACACTGTGCTCAGAGAGGCTTCCTTTTGTTCCACATTTGCACTGATCTACCTATAATTTACCCCATTCGGTGAAGCAGTGGAGGTTTCCTGTCCTTCTGTGGTGTTGAAAATGCTGTTTCTTTCTGTTGAGTTGGGTCAATAATCATAAAAACACAAGTAGTTGTGCTTAAATTGAGCTTCCACCAGTAACTAATCTTGTTACTGGTGTTTCCCAGTATCCCCACTACTTTTCCATCTTCTGTTCTATTTACTCTTCTTTGCTGCTTATCGTATCCCTAAATGTAAATCGTATCTCTATTTTTCTTTAGCAGCAGAGAAGAAACATTCTGTACCACATCTGCATATGGATTGGCAATCTCCCTAATCTTTGTGTCACTCATCTGTACCTCTGTAATTAAAGGTTTCCACTACCCAGCAATTTGGCCGTCTGAGGCAATGTTGGTACGTGTACAGTCATTTAATAATCCACACTTTTTTCCTTGCTTAGGTGACACCTAAAACTCCTGTGCTGCTGCTATCACACCCCTGCTCCAGTTGTGAACCGTGTGGCATCTGTGGCATCCCAAGGTTCTCCCAAGCGCTGCTCAGCCGTGCCCTGAGTCTGTTCTGTCACTTGTCTCTGGTTCTGCAGGGCCTGATGGTCACAATCCCCAGACTTCATGTTTTTGGTTGTGCCAGTGCAGTTTTATTGATTCGAGTGTACTTTGGACTTCCATCAGCTTGTTTTAGGCAGTTCATTTAACAAGACACCTAATAATAGATGATAGAATTATAGAATCTCATTATTTGGAAGGGACTGGCAAGGATCATTGAGTCCAACCCCTCTGCACAGACACCCCAACAATCCCACCCTGTGCATCCCTGAGAGAATTGTCCAAAGGCTCCTGGAGCTCTGGCAGCCTTGGGGCTGGGTCAGTTCTCTGGGGAGCCTGGGCAGTGCCCAGCACCTTCTGGAGGAATAACCTTTTCCTGATATCCAGCCTAACCCTCCCTGACACAGCTCCAGCCGTTCCTGTTTCTGGTCACACATGTAATAGATACAGCAGATACACAAGGGGAGAGCATAACTGTTCCTCAGGCAGCTTATATTTCTAAATACTGGGCAGGTTATGCACATAACTTATCTTTATTTGCTTCTAGAGAATATTTATGATTATTTATATTTGTTGATGGTTAAAAGCTGACTTTTGAAGAAAGAGCCACAAATAAACACAGATGGTAAAACTTTGGAAAATGCGATCCAAAAGAAAACCCAAATGAGAATAAGGGAGATACAGATGCCCACAGGCACCTGAAGGGTGAAGTTACTCTGGGCCTCATGCAGTTCTTGCACAGCCTGCACGGGCTGAAGGCCAGAGCAGATGGAAAGTCATCTGTGCTTGAATGAGGATCATGGTGAGTGGGGAGGAAAGTCCCATTTGAGCAAAAACAGGGCCTGGGAGTCTTAGTGGATGACAAATTGACCATGAGCTGGCAATGTGCCCTGGGGGGCAGTGGGAACCTGGGGTGCTTTAGGAAGAGTGTGACCCCTCCCTCTACTCGACCCTGATAGGCACATCTGCAATGTTGGTTCTCATCCTGGGTTGCTCAGGACAAGAGAGACAAGGAGCTGCTGGAGAGGGTCCAGCACAGGCCCAAAGATGATTTGGGGTCAGGAGCATCTCTTACAAGAAGAGTCTGAAGGGAGCTGGGCCTCTTTGGTCTGGAGAAGACTGAGAGGGGATCTCATCAATGCGTATAAGTATCTCCAAGGCAGGTGCCAGGAGGATGGGTCCAGACGCTTCTTGGTGGTGCCCAGTGACAGGATGAGGGAAAATGGCCATAAACTAAAACACAAAATGTTCCACCACAATGTGAGGAAAAGCTTCTTTCCATTGAGGGTAGCAGAGCCCTGGAACAGCTGCTCGGGGAGGCTGTGGAGTCTCCCTCTCTGGAGATGTTCCAAACCCACCTGGACACGTTCCTGTGCCACCTGCCCCGGGTGCCCCAGGCAGGGAGTGGGACTGGCTGACCTCCAGGGGTCCCTTCCAGCCCGGAGGATTCTCTGGGGTGGTGAGAGCCCTGCTTGTGCTGGTGGCAGCGCTGTCACCCCAGGCTGACACCTGGCAGAGAGGCGGGGGAGCTCGGTGGGAGACGCGCGCAGGGCCCACGGCCGGTTCCCTTAGACACGGCTGGGACCCGCCGTGCCCCGCAGCCCGGACCCCTCACACCGCGGCAGCCCCGGGGGAGCCGCCGCGCTCGGATGCCCCGAGCGGGGTCAAACGTTCAGGCTCATTAACATCTCATTAACACATTCCTCCCGGTTACCGGGGAGGCGCTGCGGCCCCGCAGAGGGTTCGGGGCGGGTGTCCCGGGGTGCCCCCCCCCGGTACCGGCCGCACGCGTGCCGGGGCGGGGCGTACGGGGGGCGGGGCCGCTACCGGGGAGGGGCGTGGCCGGCGGCCCAATGGCGGGGCCGCTCTCGGGCGTGACGTCAGCGGCGGCGGCGGCTGCACGTGGGCGCGGGGCGGGCGGGCGCAGAGCGGCGCAGAGCGGGCGGCGGGAGCGGCGGCGGCGGCGGAGCAGCTGCGCGGCGGAGGGGCCTGACCCGCGCCCGGTCCGCGCCCTGTCCCGCGGCCCCAGCGCCCCTCGCCACCGGCGCTCGGCCCGGCCCCACGCCCGGCTCACCCGCGCCGCGACAGCGGCTACAGCAAGGGGGAAGGAACCGCTCGCCGCGCAGCTGCCCCCTCCCCGCCGCCGCGGGCAGCCCCCACCGATCATGTCGCGGCCGCTCCCGCTGAACCCCCCGTTCCTGCCGCCCACCTACGGCGTGCTGAAGTCCCTGCTGGAAAACCCGCTCAAGCTGCCGCTCGCTCACGAAGACGGTGAGGCTTCCCCGGAACCCCTCGCAGTGCGCCCCGGTCCCGCTGTCACTCGGGGCCGCCCCACGGCTTTCCCTTTCTCCCGTCCCTCTGCGCCGCCCCCGCCCCGGGTGCTCCCCGGCTGTGGAGCCCCGGGACGGCTCGCTCGAGGCGCTCTGCGGGAGTGGCGGCCGCCCCGGCTCCATCTAACGGGACGCGCTCGGTGCTCCCATCGCCGGCCCCGGTGGATGGACGCCAAGGGCGCTCGGTGCCTCGGGGAAAGGGGGCCGGCATCCCCATCCCAGGCCCCACAACAAACCGCTCCCGGCCCCGCGTTCCCCGGTTCACCGGGAGAAAGTTGTGCTTTCCCCGGGAAGGGAGGCAGCTCGGGAACACCCGTACCGCGTATGGCGAGCGGATCGAGCGCGCACGAAAAGCAGAAAGCCAGGGAAGGTCTCGCAGTTCTGCCTCCTCGTCTTTCCGAGTTCCACTGCCAAGCGACTCGCAGGATTTCACTGGGGCTGTTGTATGAGGTTAAAAATAAAATGCTGCGAAGGCTTGGTAGCTGACAGGAAGCTTTAGGAGTTCAGATTCTTGCAGATCTTGCAGAGAAATCAGGCGTTTCCCTTACAAAACGTGCATTGAAATCACTGGGGGCTGTAGAAATGAGGAAGCCTCAGTCAAGCTTTTTTTTTGCTTCTATCTTTGAATATTTTGTGGTGTCTTCTGCACATCAAAACTGTGTTCTGTCAGCCTTTGCCACTGTATGTTAGTAACATTTAGAAGTGCAGAATTTGAGGACTATTTTGCTTGTGCCAGGACTAACAAGATTGGGATCTTAGTTTAGAAGAATGATAGGATCCCAGGGATTTCAGGCTAAGGCTGTTTCTTTTCAACAGAATATATCAATAGCTTCCAGTTCGCTGGAATACTTAAATGTTCACTTTTAAGTCTCTTGAGTACTTTTTGATGCTAACATTCAAAGCTATGCATGGAGTGGAACTGTTAACTAAAAACAAAGGGCAATTTCAAAAATGTGGTTGGTTCCCACAAAGGTGCTCAGTGACATGACCCCTCAATTCTCTTCCAAGCAGAGTGAGTCAAAGGAGTTACTTTTTTTGAAGAGAATATTCTTTTCTTACACCTGAGAGTAGAGCAGAAATAATGGAAGTAGTAGTAGTTAATGTTTTAATTACTGAATTCTTACATGTTTGTTGTGTGTTTTTGTTTAAGCATTCGGTAAAGAAAAAGACAAAGAGAAGAAGTTAGATGATGACAGCACTGGTACCACAGTCCCTCAGTCGGCTTTCTTGGGTCCAACATTATGGGACAAGACACTGCCATATGATGGAGACACTTTCCAGTTGGAATACATGGACCTGGAAGAATTCCTCTCAGAAAATGGCATTCCACCCAGCCCAAACCAGCACGAGCCTAGCCCACACCAGTCAGGTCTCCAGCAAGCTACCTCAGCATCACCTTCTGTCATGGACCTCAGCAGCAGGGCTTCTACTTCAGTGCATCCAGGCATGGTGTCGCAGAACTGCATGCAGAGCCCGGTCAGACCAGGTAAATCAGCCCTCAGAACTCCCCTGTGGAATCTGGCATGAACCCCTCCTCCCCACTGTAAATCACTGCTTCTCCCTGTGCAGCTGACAGGCACCTTAGAGCCCAGAGGATTCCTGTCACTCACACCCCAGCAAATAAAAACAAGAGCTCCAGTTATCACTAAGCTGCTCCACCAGGATTTTTGTTTAAATTATTGAAGGAAAGCTCTGGGAATTCCATGGAAACTTGGCTATCTTAGTTGGTGTCGTAGCTGTTAGCAAGTAAAAAGACCCCAGACAGAATGGCATAGATGCCACAGTGTTGAAAGAGCAGGGAAAAGGACTGTGAAAGAGAATATTCCTTCAGCCAATATTTGATGTGAGACACAGGAGTGGGCAGTTATTCTGGAGTTAAAGGTTAATGCTTCTTACTTGAAATTTTGGCCGTAATCTTACTCTCTACTGAGCAAAGTAAAATTTGCCACAGGAACTGAGTTTTGGAACAACATTATAATCTTGCTTAAATTGGCATAAACTGAGTGTAACTCTGACCTGAGTTCATAACTTGCATCTGTAGTCACCTTACGCTTAAGAAAACACCATGGAGTCCAAGGCCTGGTTGTAATGCACAATTCCAGCCTGTCTGATGTCAGTGGAAGTCTTTTATTATTTTATTAGCACTTGAGATCATCCCTTCAGAGACACCAGTTCGAATCCAGAGTAACTCCTCTGGCTTGACACCAGCATGGCTGAGATCATGGGCAGTGGAAGAGTGTCAACATTGAAGTTTGGGAAACATGGAGCTTTGCCTTTTTCCTTAAAAAAAAATACAGAGACTGACTTATTTGTTGTGCTCTTCTGCTCACATGAGGTGTGCTGGAGCAAAGTGTGCTCCTGGCAGCAGGAAACCACTCCTCTCCCTTCTGCTTGATCGTTTGCCATGCTCAGTGTGTGAAGTCATTGTCAGAATCATCTGATAAGGAGGCTAAATAAATAAATAGAGAGGCAAAAGTTGTGGAGCAGGATGAAATAGAAATGTCTTATAAGTCTGCAACATTCCTATCTTGATAAAAAGAAATAAAATATTCCCCAAAGCTCCCCAAGCCTGTCAACATACTCCTTGGCCCCCCCATCAGAACTGTGTTTAGTCAGGGATTTCATTTACTTACTTTTACTTTGTGTGGATTTGACTTTGCTTTGTGTTTCAGTTTCAAGGCTTTTCATGGTTAACTAATAACTTACAAGGGTGTCCAAAGTTAAAATATATTTGGAGTAGGCAAGAGCAGAACATGAAACCCATTGCTTTTTCTGAGCCAGCTTTAAAAATAGTGCATATGTGCTACATCGTTTTCTGTCACTTGTGCACGCACAAAATTAAAAGCAGATAATCTGTCCCCATTCTCTCTTTTTTTCAGAGGAGCCAGAGGAGCCTAGTAGTGAGCCAGGCTTTTAATGATCACCTGTCAGAATTTATTTGTAATCAGCTATCTGTGTGACTTTTCAACTCATTGATTTTTTTTCAGTTTATCCTGAGCCCTTTGCAGCTCGGGGTTACAAACTTACCTCATAGTGCACTTGTAAAGGACATTATGTCTCTTGGGGTAGGATAAAACATCTAAATTTCCAGGTATTTTTCCCAACACCATCTTGCCTTTAGAAGAATAGATTTTTTCGTTAATTTTTTTTTTTTTTTTTTTTTTAAGGGAGCTCATTTCACTTCTTAAATAATATTTTCTTGTCCCCCATTACATATAGGAAGTGCGGCTTCATTAACAGTAGTCTGGTTTATCATCAGGTTGTTGAAATTTTTATGTGCTGTCATGTGAAAACCTTTCTTTGACAATCAGTACTGAAGAGAAGACCATCTCACAGTTTAGCATTCGAGCAAGTTTGAGAGTATAGGAGCATAAATTTTTTTTTACAATTTAGTAAAAGTAAAAACATTTAAGAGTTATCATAAAAGGGCCAAGGCAAATGTGCTGCTTTGAAATGGGGAGGTAAATGTTAAAAATCATTGTAATGGAGCCTGTTGCTTAATGTATCTTAGAGCATTTAAAATAAATTTTTAGAATTTTCACATAAAGAAAGGTTTTTAGTTGGCGTGAGCTAGCATTCCAGTATAGTGTTGTGATTTGTGTTACTGTAATAAAGCAAAGAACAAGTCGTAGTATACTTCCAATATCAATAATATACTTCCAATTTCAATACAGATTAATTCCATGTGATCCTACTACCTCCAGGAAAAGTGAATGTTTTAGGTGATAGTAATTCTAGAATATTTCACCGGTGTGTTTTCTGAATTCTGCCTTGCAGTGGGCGCCTGTTTGAGCGTGTGGGGCCAGAGGGAGGGTCTGGCCCTGTGCTGCTCCTGTCCCTCTGTCCGTGGCTCTGGGTTGGCACCAGGCTCACGTGCAGGTGGTGACAGCTGCCAGCCTGGCTGTGCCCTGCCGGGGGGGACATCCCTGGGGGGACACATCTCCCTGCACGTGGAGCCTCTGGGACCCTGGGGATGGTCCATGGGAGAGCAGCATGAGGAGATTTAATGTGTGCGTGTGTTCCAGCACAAGCCTCATCTGTCTGTAGGAGTGAGTGGTGCTGCCCAAACGTGTTTTGTGCCGTGTCTGGAAGAGATCAGGAGATCTGCACTGGCATTCCCCGAGTGTCATCAGGCTCAGCAAAGCTCTGCTGACCCTGACTGTGGACGTGACATTACCAAAATCCTCGCGGATTTGCTTTCTCCCTGCTAAAAAAATGTAATGGCAACAAAAAGGATTCTGTATTTTCAGCTCAGATTGTCTGGTCGATGGAAAGATGTTTAGGCTCATCAGTTTATCATCCGCAAAGAACAGAGCCACCACTTACTTCCCATACATCTCTGTTCAGGGAATGTAGTTACAGAAATTTCTGGCTTTGTTTTGATGAGGGACACAGGATAATGACTTGCAAGAGTGAAACCATGTATTTATCTTTCACAGTGCTGATTCTGTTAATAAAAAATAGTATTTTAATTTATTTTTAGCATTGCAGACCAGCATTCATTGTCCTGTGTAGATGCATTTAAAACTCCTGTTTTGTGTTGGTATTGGATGCTGGTAGGTTGATTGAAATCTGTGGTCTCCTCCGAAAAAGGTTTTCACATTTTTATGAAGCTTTCAGACTAACCCATTACTGCAAACACACTTTTGTGGTTCTTTGTGTTGTACACCTTATGTAGTCTTGCAGCGGAACGTCAATCTCCATTTCATTTTTAAATGCAGAGTCCTTAAGCAAATTTGGAGTAATTTTTAGCTGTTTGTATGCAAAGGGAGGATGTATATTTTGCAAGTAACTAGTTGGTTGTTGCTTTTCACCTGGCTCTTTCCCCTGTGTAGCCCTGATGGAGGTGGTTGGGGCAGGTACTGTAAAGGGTTTGAAAGGTGTGAATTAGAGAAGCATCAGCGAGATCTGGTGGAGAATACTAACTAGAAGGTTTTTGGGATTTTGTGGTTTAGATCTGAATTTTCTGTTTGCCACCAAAAAGCCTTGGATGTAGGGCTGTGTCACAGTGATAACCAGGTGTTGTTTCTGCCTTGCTCCAAAGGAGAACAGGGCTGTTGGGGGCTCTGAGAGAGCTCCCTCTTTGTGTTCTCTGATGATGGTTTTCTGTCTGTGTTGCCTGCATGGCTGGGTGCCTTAGATTACTTGCCAAAGATTATTTAAGGAAAGAAAAAAAAGAACAACAAGCTTTGTAATCCACTGCAGAAATATACCGATGTGCAGTATCTGCAAAAAAGTAAAATTAGGGGCACATTAATCAAAAAGTTGAGGATTGTTTCCATGTGAAGTGCACTTACACCTCCCACCCCCCAAAGATTTTTATGAAATGCTGTGGTGTATTTGCTCAGTCCAGATATTCTGTCTACAGCACAGTATCCATTTCCTCTGGCTTCTTGGGCAGGCACGGAGCTGCAGTGACGGACAGCAGGCACCGCTGGATGGGTTTCGGTGTTTTTGGAGCTGGTGTTTGTGCTGGGCACCGCAGCTGGCAGGGTGGGTTTCAGTGCTTTTGGAGCTGGTGTTTGTGCTGGGCGCCGCAGCTGGCAGGGTGGGTTTCAGTGCTTTTGGAGCTGGTGTTTGTGCCGGGCACTACAGCCAGCTGGGTGGGTTTCAGTGTTTTTGGGGCTGGTGTTTGTGCCGGGCACCGCAGCCAGGGCACTACAGCCAGCTGGGTGGGTTTTGGTGTTTTTGGGGCTGGTGTTTGTGCCGGGCACTGCACCCAACTGGGTGGGTTTCAGTGCTTTTGGAGCTGGTGTTTGTGCCGGGCACTGCAGCCAGCTGGGAGAGGCCGTTCTTGCTCCACGCAGCTCACTGCAGGGCACCCCAAAGGGTGTGTGTGCAGCACTCCCTGGATTGCAGCCTTCCTTCCCCTGCCTTCCTTAACGTGCTCTCCTCCTCCAGCACAGCTTGGCAGAGCCAAGGGCAGCATTCCCAGCTGCCAGCCTGTGCGTGGAATCCTCTCCTGAGCTTTAATCATTGTTTACAAGCCGTCCCCGCGCGTTGCAGGAACCCCTTCTCTCCTGAGGCCGAGGGCTCTCGGCGGGAACTTCCCGACCTTTGGCCTCCCACGTGAGGGTGGCAATGAGCAGCTCCAGCACGGCCGGGCTGGTACCGGGGCTGCGCTTCACATTGAGCCTCACGTGAGGCCGGGCTGCCTGCAGGACCATGTGCTCCAGGCACGTGTGCCTGCCCTGTGCAGCCCGGCTCAGCCCAGCCCAGCCCGGCTCCGCTCCTGCCGCCGCCCCGATGGGAGCGCTGCGCCCCGCGCCGCTGCCACGGCAGTGCGATCCGCGGGCAAACCTCGCTGAACTGCTCTCCGGATCAAAGGAGGATGCGAAATATATTCAGGCAAATATTAAAAATAGCCTGTCACATGATAACGGGGGGGGAAAAAAGTGCTGAACGCACAGGCTTGTTAGTGCTGGAAGCAAGAACACTGTGTCTCCTTCAAGAGAGCTAATTTTAATATTCGCAGTTAAATGTTGA